CTAACCCTAACCCTCAAACCAAAAAGTGATGACCGGCCAAAATGTTCTTTATCCGTAAGATCTATGCTCAAAATAGTCCTCACTAATATATAAGTACAAGTACACACACATGCACACACACTTTCTATCCCCGCAGGCCCCACTTCCATCCCAGTCTGGCCAGACCTCCACACCAGTCATCAAATATTTATGATGGATACATGAAAGCAGCACATGGAAATCAATGGGGCTCATTATATCGTACCTCGCCATAGACGCAGTTCATAATACGCCCGAGGTTTTTGTCTGCGTTTCACCAACTGAGCTGCAACATGTTAGACACTTGAAAAGATAACAACCATCACCTGGAGAAGTTGAGAAGCTCGTGTTGTGCATCCGATGGGGAGGAAGACGCTTAATGACACCTAGTAGACTACATACCTGTTTTAATACCTGTAATTACACAAAACAGTCAAGTAAAGTAAGATGCCAGGTTTTAACAACCATGTGAGCACACATTCACTCTCCTAAACTGCCGCTCCGCTTAAGCCTGATGTCTGTACACATCACCATCAGAGCAGTGTTGTCACTGAACCTTTTATGTGCCTCGATATCTGAAGAGCGACTCAGGCCTCTGATGATACTGATGTTTTCACTTTGTAAAGAGGTTTCCCTCAATCTTCCCTCATGTGATTTAAAATGTCAACACATATTTAATAACTGTAGGAGGTTATTAAGCAAAATAACAAACATTTTATAGAATTATTACACATTAATTTGGCACTTCTCCAAGACTACAATGGTATCTGGACCAAATTTGACCAGGTTCTTCCCTGACCTACCACATCCTTCTACCAAGTTTCATGGGAATTGGTTATTTTATTTAATCCTGCTTCAAATCAAACACTGATGGAAACAACTTCCTTTGCAGAGGTAACAAAACGTGGGAAAAGTTTTAATATCAGTGTTCTGCAGTAACAATAAATCTTTTTCGATTATGCGATCGTTGCAGAAGAGGAAAAAAAAAACGTATACTCTCATCCTCCATGTGAACACAGAAGCATGTAACCTGTGGTGTGTTCAGTGGAGGCATGCAGGCGCTGAGCAGCACAAGTGGCCCCCAGAGGCCCCCAGCCCTGCCAGATGATGGGAGGGGACAAACAGAAGCTGCTTAATATAAAAGCAAACGATGGCGCTGCTGAAATCTCAATTCACTGAGCCTTGTTTGCCTTTGGGATAGAAACGGTGCTGATGGGAGTGTGCGTGTGTGTATTTTAAGTATAAATCATCTTCACCACTTTCATCCGTCTGTACGTCTTCCTTCCACTGTATCAGTACAAATCCCCATATACACACATACACAACAGCAAAACACACAAGCGCAGAGCTGCCCCTTCGAGCGTGCGTTCTAAATATAAACACGGATCTTTTGTAAATTCATGCCATTACTCGTGCACACGATCCGAGCGAGGCTCCTGCAGGAGATGGTCAATATTTAATCTGCGCTCTGTGCTGTCAGAGCGCTCTGCCTCACGTCTCTCCTCTTCCACTCTGCTGCTGATGTTCCGGTCAGCTGTTAAGAGAAATATAGAAAGTCACGTTTCCCCATAACTGGCTTTTCCACACATTAAGAAAAATGTTATCTGATGCGCTGGTTTATTAAAGATGGCTTTTCCCCGGCAGCTGAGCAAAACCGCTGCATAAGCACATTTTAAATTCATCAGATTACCGATTTAGAAACAAGCCTCTGTAGATTACATTAAGCCTACATGCAAAAATAAAACAATGAAACTAATGTAGAATTTAGCCGAGGCCTAAATTTCCCCTCAAGTTAAATCACACCTTACAGCTAAGGCCACGTTACATTGCTCAGCTACACATTGGTGGTAGTTACAGGTTTCCAGTATATTTGTTACCATACAGCAGTGGAAAAAAGCCCACGCTCCTTTGAAACCACATTTAAATGGAACTCCATGAAATTGCACACACTCATAGATACCAACTCCCTGAATCGGTCTGAAAACATAATTCTCTGAGAAGTCGACAAAAATGTTGAAAAACGTTAATCCTGCAAGACAGTGAAAAAAAAGAATCCTGGATACACCAAACTTTTATGACTTCATCCCTGACCCTCCAAGTTTCACGGCAAACATCCATGACGAGGGAAATTAGATAACAACTAAACATTTCTGTAGATATCCAGTACTTCACAAGAATAAACTCATGTGAACAGAGCTTTTTGGTTTATTGTATAATTCCTTATAGATCCAAGTTCAGCTTCTAATTCAATAAAGAACGCTCATAAAGTCTCGATTTTGGTTTGAAACCTCAGCATTTTTATCTGAAGCCTTGAACGTGCAGTTACAACAGATACTTCAGTCTCACAGTTTATTTGTGTCCTGTCTGGCTTTATCCTTCCTCACCATCTCCATTCACTCACACAGTAAAGACGCCAGTAAATCCATAATCTAGCTGTTATCCTTCCTGTTATCTTATCTCTTTATCATGCGATCAGTGGAGGAGAGGATTACCCATGATGCTCGTGGGGCAGCGGGTCACTTCAAGCCCAGCTCACTCACCTGAATGAGAAAAACAAATCCAGCATGGCTTCCAAAAGAGCCTCATTCGTTCTCTTAGGGTCCCTCCCTTCAACAGATTCTGCTGACCCCCCTCATTGTAATCTGCATGAGTCAGCGTGAGGTGCTTTCTCCGCAACAACCCGACCTAATCTGCTGCTGTACTTTCTGTCCCGTAATCCAATCAATCTGGTCCGGTCTGAGGATTTTCTGCAGACTCGTCATGATAATCACAGGAGATTTTGTCTTGTTGGAAAACAATGTAGATTCTGAACGTAAGGTTCCAGATTCAAAGCTACGTTGTGATATTTGCAGAGGAATGCATTTTTTCTCGCTACTTGAAGATTAACTCCACATTAGAATTTGTTTTAAAGTAGCTGCACTTGGCTCTGCATCAGGGGAGGGTCCAAAGGGCCCTCCTACCTTTAAATAATCTGCTGGAAAGAATTGTCATTGATTGTCACATGATTTGGAGATCATCTTATTATTATTATGACTGGGACCAAATGCTGCATTCCAGTTCCCACTAGTGACAAATACCAGAGCAACTCATCTGGATGTTATCCATCAATGCAGGTTTCATTATGTCGTTAGATCCTGTTAGATTATTATTTTGAAGATCAGAGTGTGATTATAATCAGCTGCAGGCTCTTTCTGTGTGAGTCCATGAGGAGATGCGTTGGTGACGCGTCACATGGTTTCAATGTCTTCAGTAAGAAAACTGCACTATGACAACAATCCCACTGGGAGCATGTCTCTCTCTCCCTCCCCTCTCTCTTCCTCTCTCTGTTTTCTTTCTCTGACACATGATGTCTTTCATTGCTCCGTCTTCCTCACCTTCCCCACAAACACTGAGCGACACAGCACGGCCCTCTTCTTTGCCAGCAGATGTCCGGTCAGGTTTTGTAAGCACAGAGAGCTCCTCTTCAGCGTCTTCTGCCAGTGACAGCATCTGTGTGTTTGTGAAGGAGGGGGAGGGCTCCATCGTGAAACCAGGGACGTGATTGGCTCACAAACAACCACTGGTTGTATACAAGGCCGAGGTTCCCTGTGGAGAAAAATAATGTAAAGTAGTTAAATGTGCATTAAAAGTTTTGTATTTGTTTTGCAGGGCGAGCAGAAGTAGATGGACTGTAAAATCCTACATGTCTGCATCTTGTTAATGTTATAGCCCATTAGGTGTCGAGCCTCTTGTCTGGTAATGTTCACTCTTTAACGTTTCAACTCTGTAAAGTTAAACTTAAATTAATTTCATTGCCGTCTTTTATACATTTTATTCCCATACATTTATTTGATGTTAAAACAAACCATAAGGTAAATTCCCCTTAAATAAATGAGTGTACAGTTAAACAAAACTATTAAGTATGAGTTGTGCAAACCTAAGGACAAAAATAAGTGTAAAATAGATCATAATATTTATAACATTCATCCTAACCTGCTCAGTGTGTGATACAAATACATTTTATTCCCATATTTTTACTGTCAGCCCTTCATACTAATAAAACCAATGTTTAGAGAATTTAGGAATGAACCATTTCTAATTGAGCTGTGGTTTGACATGTGACTCCTCCCTGTCTTTTTATACTGTACATGTTTTCTGCTTTGGCAAATTACATCACTGCCCCCTTTTGGCCACATTTAAAATTGCACACATGATTACATAGTCTGACGTCAGTAATCAGGTTCCAGAAATCACGCCAATCCCCTCAGTCATTCTTCCGTGAGCTGGAAATGAATGATTATGTCAGAATATGACAAAAGATTTTTTATAACACCACCCGACACCTTTTTGTTAATAATTTGGTTGTTATTCAATAAATAGGAGCAGGTTGCTCATGAGCTTTGTCACCAACGATTGAGTGGAGAAGACGTTTCTGATGAAGATCAACCTTCTCTTCCTCCTCTCTGTTCTCGCTTTGTCTCCTCCAGATTTCACTCTGTTAGAACATGGGTTGGGGACTATGGAGGAGAGGAGGAGGAGGAGGAGAGATAAAGCTTTTAGATGCAGCCGCAACACAAAGACTCTGAAAACTAACTGTGTCCTGTCCACAGAATAAAGCGTAGTTGTGACTCTTAGAAATGCTTTGTCACTAACATTACAGCTTGTTTTCCCCATTTTAAAGACCTGCGTATTAAAATATTCATGTTTGATGACGTTTATTTTCATCTGCTGTTATATTATATCATGATATTAAAACCTAAATCTCCTTGTTACTGACCCGGCACATTGTGTTTGTGTGTCTTCCCCACAGAACAGGCAGCTGCTGAGGGACAGTTTCATGGTGGAGTTGGTGGAAGGAGCCAGGAAGCTGCGACACGTCTTCCTCTTCACGGATCTGCTGCTCTGCGCCAAACTGAAAAAACAGATCGGAGGGTAAGAAATGAGTCTACAACAGTAAAAAATAGGAAATACATCAACGGGGGGGAGTGATTAGGTGTCTGAAAATGTGGCTGCATATCTTAAACCTTATGTCATAACAAAACACATATTTAGGTCTCGGATTTCATGATCTCATTAAAAGACGATTTTCCTCAAGGTCCTCACTTGATGTTTTTATGATCCATAAACATTTAACGCAGGTAAATGTCTCTCTGGCATCAAATCGCAGCCAAGAATTCTTCAATATTACGCCATTTATCCCTTTACATTATCTGCTTCACGCCTCATTTTAATCCCTTTTTATCAATCTACCCCTCCTTTTATACCTGCTTAATATTCCTCTTTTTCTTTTTATACTTGTCTCTCCTCACACATCCTCTTTCATTTTCCCCGACTCCTTTTGCCGCTGCAGAAAAAGCCAGCAGTACGACAGTAAGTGGTACATCCCCCTGACCGAACTGACCTTCCAGGGTCCAGAGGAGACCGAACCACTCACCATCCCCCAGGTCCCCGATGAGGAGCTCGATGCCATGAAGGTCAAGATCTCACACCTCCGCAGTGAGATTCAGAGAGAGAAGGTAAAGTGGATCCACAGCGAGGACACTGGAAGACGTTTCCTCTCCGTCATATTGCTTGTTTCAATAAAAGCTGTTGAGGAACTAAGAAAAAAAGACTGTGCAGCTTAAACTGAAGCACGGCAATTGTTGGTTTATACATATTCAGGGTTTCATCCAACATCAGTGGTTTGTTTCAAGGTTTTCTGCATAAATGTATGTGTGAACAGTTTTCTCCTCTGTGATTGCAGAGAGCCAACAAGGGATCAAAAGTCATCGACCGGCTCAGGAAGAAATTGTCCGAACAGGAGTCTCTTCTCCTGCTAACATCTCCGAGTATGCCGCTCCGCGCCTACAACAAGAACGGAAAGGTGATGACGCTCTCTGTCTTAAACTGCTTCTTCTGTTTGTCTCGTTTTCTGTAATATTCCCTTGTTAATCTTCCCTGAGATTAATTCTCCTTGATCTTTTACTTTATAAAACGTGAATATATAACTACACATTTCAAATTGTGACTTTATATATTTGTCACAAATAAACCGTGTCCTTTGTAATGTTCCAACCTGCCCCTCCCCAGATTATTTGCTGTTGAAATAACAGCCTTTGTCTTTGTGTGTTTATATTTCAGAGCTACGGTTTCCTGATGTCATCTGACTATGAACGTGCCGAGTGGAAGGAGATAATCAAAGAGCAGCAGAAGAAATGTACGTGTCCCAGAAATGTCACGTTGAACATTTTTCAATTCAAACCAGGATGTTTTTTTGTTTTTTGTCTTCACCAAAAACAAAATCCTGGGAACTTGATACTTTTTACTGTTCTGAGAAACTTCTAATCAAAGAACCTTGAAGTAGGAAACAATGTTTTGGCCTTTAGGAAAACACAGAGAACACCAACAGTTTCTCTTTGTGATACACATATTTATATAATCGCATTGATTTTCTAAAGTCCTTGTTTTTTCTTTAGGTTTTAAAACGTCCTCCTTGACGTCCATGGAGTTACAAATGTTGACCAACTCCTGTGTCAAACTACAGACTGTTCACCACATTCCACTCAGCATCAATAAAGAAGGTACGTTACTAATTTGTATTTCAAACTTGTTTTCAAGCTTAAATACTGTTTTGCTAAATGAATCTTTTTCATAAGTGGTAGATGGCGTTTAGTGTTTTCCATCTCTGTTGTAAATCATTCACTAACGATAAATCACTGTGGGTGAGATGAAGATGAAAAGTACAAAGAGATTTAAGCCACATGTCGAAATCTGATTCTGCTCCAAAACAAACAGAGATCTGCATGTTTTTCTAATCCCTCCTCTGTTCTCTCTCTCTCTCTCTCTCTCTCTCTCTCTCTCTCTCTCTCTCTCTCTCTCTCTCTGTCTCTCTCTCCCTCTCTCTCGCTGACTGTTTTTCCAGAGGATGAATCCTCTGGCCTCTGCGGGTTCCTGAATGTAATCGTCCACTCTGCCTCCGGCCTCAAACAGAGCTTAAGTGAGTCACTCACCTTTAGCCTTGATGTGAACAACAGAAAATAATCATCCCAGGCTAAATGAGTTCCTGTCCCTGTTCCTATCAGTTTCAAAGTGGAAAATAATGATGAGCAGCTTTTTTTTCCCTGTCCCATAAAATTTCATTTCATTTTAGGTTCAACTTTAAAGACGCACGACGTGAACAACTGGAAAATTTGTAGGAGTTTACATTCTTAGAATTTCTTAAGCTGCTGCTGCTGCATGAACATTAGATTGTGGATGCCTGACTCTGGTGGGATTCAAACACAAAAAGCTGGATGCCTGTTGGGTTTGGGTTTTATCACATTGGTTGGACCAGCTGCATGATTTTTCCACTACACTGGGCTTTAGTCGGGTTAAGACATAAAAAGGAGGATTCCTTTTGGTTTCGGGTTGGACTCTGGTTAGTTTCATCTCCGGGCTCGGTCGGGTTTCAGACATCAAATGTTGGCCCACACCAAACTCTTCAGTCTGTTCAGTTGTACAGTACGTCTGATACATTTTGAATACTTTCTTCCCTTTTAGATCTCTACTGCACAATGGAGGTGGATTCCTTTGGCTTCTTTTCAAATAAAGCCAAGACGAGAGTGTATCGATACACCACTGAACCCAAATGGAACGAGGTAAGAGACTGCGACTCAGTAGAGCACGAACATCCACTAAGTCTCCTTAAACTCAACCAAGCTGCTCCAAAGTTCACACACTCATAGATATCAGTCCCCTTTAAAAAAAGTAGTAGACCCTGCATCTTTCTACCAAGTTTCGTGAAAATCCGCTCAGTTATTTTTGTGTAATATTGCTAACAGACAGACAGACAGCGGTGAAAACATGACGTCCTCAGCTGAGGTAATAAAAAGCTTCTGGCAGAGTCCTGGTGCAGATGAAGCTGCCTCTCATATATCTGACATCTTGTACTGTAAATCAATTAGCTGCCCATCCAAAGATGTCTAACAGAACGCACATGGAGCATCTGCAGCCCCTGCAGCCCCTGCAAACACACACACGTACGTATACTGATGACACAGCTGGATGTGGAAGGTTGGCATGGCAGAGGAAGAGGAGCTTTGAGACACAATCAGCGGACGGGTTCATTGGCAGCGCAGCTCGTTTTCCATCGTGACCCCGAAGACTCTGCAAGGATTTTGTTCAGCGAAGTGGAAATAATATCAGTTAATGAGGAGCTGCTGGTGATGACTCACATCTGTCCACATGCTAACTGAACCAACACAGTGTGGGTCCGAGAACAATGTGCAAACCATATGCAGAGCGCTCCCTTACATAATTACAGGGAATGTTGGTCAACTGTGCTTTGTGGTGGCATGCAGGCATTAAAATAAAGGGGAGACGCTGCTGTTTTTTCCTCAGGGGTATAATCTCAGTCTGTCATTATCTTTGTCGTTCTTGTTATTCCTGTTTCTGCGCTTGTCATTTTATTGCAGAATAACGTCCTCACAGCTGGTTGTTGTTGTTTTCCTCCTCTTCTTCTTCCCCTCAGGAGTTTGAGATTGAGCTGGAGGGCTCTCAGACCCTGAGGCTGCTCTGCTACGAGAAGTGCTACAACAAGACCAAGCAGAACAAAGAGGATGGAGAGAGCACAGACCGCATCATGGGGAAAGGACAGATCCCGGTATGACATTACGTCACCCCCCCCTCCATTCAGCAGACGCATCATGATTTATCACAGATCGGCAGTTATGTCACCCCCTCTTCCACAAAAGCATGAAATCCATATTATTTTGCTCGGTTAACGATGTGGCAATTGGCCGATTAGGTTCATTACCCAAATGCGTAATGGACGGCGAGGGGCTGGTTAAACGGAGAAAAGTCTGTGGGTTTAATTTGAACATTGAAAAGTGATCCTGTGCGACTCTGTTCAGTTAAGATTTACTGCGTTTTTGATAGAGTGACACAAATCTTAACTTTTCATGTCAGCGATCTGTCATCGTGCTGCCAGGGTTTGGTGTTTAAAACATTCATCAAGGTGATTGATTAAATGCTGTGCTGCACAGGTGGAAATGAAATCATCCAGTCAGGTTATCTGTCAATAAGAATTAAAAATATCGAGTAATAGACCCTGAAAAAACTGTAAATGCACTGTATTTTCCAGTCTTATCCCATTTTACACTACAAGCATTCTCTCCTACACCATTCACTGTCAGCCGAGATGTCGGGGTTCACTATCTTACCCAAGGACACTTAGGAATGCAGACTGGAGGTGCTGGGGATGGAACCACTGACCTTCTGGTTTCTGGACGACGCTCCTGAGCAACAGCCACCCCTTAAAAAACAACTCAGATAGTGTACGGAGGAGTCGGGTCCATGAGACTGACAGGGTGGATAGTTGCAGGTTGATAGCTTGTGATTAGGTTCCTAACATGACGCCAGCCTGCAGGATAACGCCTGTGTCACTCAGCACTACAGACAGATACAGCACAGAGAGACAAAAAGATTCAGCAGGAAACACGAGTGTCTACTTTGATCCCGTGCCACTGAAAACATGCTTCTCACTGCAGGGCACGGGTGTGTGTTTCCATGTGTGTGTTTCCGTGTGTGTGTTTCCGTGTGTGTGTGGGTGATTTGGACTCTGCTGTAATCTCTGCACACACTTTTTGAAAAAGCTCATGACTGCAACTTTTTATACGGGTTAAAAGATCCACTAATACATTATCTACATGATGTCTCATAATAGAATGAATTCTGTTCTAATTGTCGACCTCATCTTCACACGGCTCCTCTTTGCTTGTCGTCTGTCAAACCCTGAGTTACGGTCACATGCTCCACCTAGTGGTTCCTTTGTTTATCCCCCGCTATAAACGGATGATGTCATTCTAAACCAAGCACCCAGAGCAGTGAGAAAGTTGCATTGTCACAAATCTGGGGCGAGAAGCAGCCACTCCTTCTCTTTAGCAGAGGCTGCAGTGGCTGTTAAATCCCACGTTTCACAGATCAGCCCCATGAACTTTGCATGAGGGTAATCTGATATTTGCTTTGAATGAAATGCTGCCTTCTGTATATGCAACAGTTGAATCTGAAATTATTTTAGCAGATTATTGTTTTTATAATTTTTTTCTCATTCGTCCTCCTGGTCCTTTGTTTCTTATTCTTCCCTCCATCTCAACAAGCTTTTGTCTCCTCTCATCTTTTCACACATAAACTGTCCCTGCTCATGCGTTTCTCTTAATTTCTGCCTTCAGGGTTCAGTTTTTTTCACGTTGTAGACAACTCTCTGAACCTTTCCAGAACCGCTCCAGCCCGGAGAAGACATAACAATATCCGTCGGCCAAAAACTTGAGCTTTTAAAACATTTTTTATCAGGAAGCAAGAGGAGATCGTTTGGCTTTGTTGTTTTTTAGCGGAATGTAATTCTTTTGTAGATAAAACAGCTCAAACCAAAGAGCCAAAGATTCAATTATGATAAACACAATCCAGCTCTGCACACAACCAGATGGGGCTTAGCCTCGGTAAACATACAACATACAGTATTCTGTGTCTGTGTGCGTCTATGTGTGTGTTTGCGTGCTCTGTCGATTTGAGTGTGAATTAAGTCTCTTTCAATAAACGATATTTATTACATTGTGTTTCTGAAAACACAGTAAAGGGACAGGAAGTGGCTCATTCACCATTTACAACATTCCACTAAAATAGAGGAAAGACTTGTCCTGTTGATTCAGTCGTAACTTAATGCTCTGCTATGTTGACACAACCAAGCTGTACAGAAATAGGGCGAGGGCAGAAGAAGATAAGTTCACTTAACAAAGAAGATAAACAGTAAGAATTTGCGTAGGTGGAGGGGTCGATGGGAAAATAGCGAGACGTGTCCTTAAGAGGTCAAGTAAAATTACGTCTGCATCTGCACCGAAATAGCACTAGATTGGCACTCAGTAGAACGCATACATTCCCCTTATAATGTTGAAGGATCAACATTTCCCACACTCATAAACATGATTGTTTCATGATCTGTGAATAAAAACAATCAAAGCAACTTTAAAATGATGACTTGAATGCAGCAGTCGTGACCTTTTTCTCAGCATGTCTGCGTCATTGTGTGGTTGTAATGAAATGTGTTTATACCAATGTTCAGATGAAATAACATATATTCTCCCTTTGTGTTCCCTCCACTAAGCTGGACCCTCAGACTCTCCAAGGCAAAGACTGGCAGAGAACAGTGATTCCCATGAACGGGGTGAGTCTGTCACGTTAATCTGAGGTTTTTCTTCTATTTTCCTGATGTCCTGTCCTCCCCCTCCTCACTGTTCAGCAGCAGTCAGATCTCAGATTCATCTGCTATCTCAAAATACTCATATTAGGCGTCACTGTTGCTGCATATTTGTGGCACATAGCAGAGAGACATAGTAAACTTTTTCCAGGATGTGGTTTAGCAGTTGATTTGTCTGTTAAGTCTACACCTGGTTTTAACATGAGAGGATTTCCTCCAGATCCTTGGAATCTGTAGCAGATGGATTTCCAGGCTTGTGCTCATGGCTTCTCACTCTGTAAACCTGTTTTAGCTCAAAGCCCTTTTTTCCTGTGTCAGATCGAGGTGAAACTCTCCATAAAGTTCACCAGCCGAGAGTTCAGCCTGAAGAGGATGCCCTCGCGGAAACCGATGGGTGTGTTTGGAATCAAGATCTCCACAGTGACCAAGTGAGTTGACATTTTAGACAGAAGCCAGGGACGTTCCTCAGGGCTCGATTCTGGGCCTCCTTTTGCATGTGTGGTTTTCTTTTTTGTATATTTCCTCCAAGTTATCTACATTGTCTTCTCCACAACACGTCACAGACCATCAGTTAACAAGACAAGAGTCCACAGCCATGCATGCAGCAACCAAATGCTAGCATCAGCATGCTAACAGGCTAAAAGTGACACATCCGGCTAGATTTACAAAGATCAATTAGCATTGTAGATGAAACAATAAACTGAAACACAAGTATAGAGCCGGAGGTATTTCCTGGGCCTTCAGTCACTGAGACACAGCTGTAACTCCTGCATTTCATTCTTTTGCTTCCTCCTTCATTTGTCATCACTTGTACGTCATCCTCCTTATACTCACAGTACTACTTGTAAGTGTTTTCTTTACAATCAAGTGTTTGCATGTTGTTGTTGATATTTGTGTTTCTTTCTCTCATAGACGAGAGCGCTCCAAGGTGCCCTACATCGTCCGGCAGTGCCTAGAGGAGATTGAAAGGAGGGGAATGGAGGAGGTGGGCATCTACAGAGTTTCGGGGGTGGCCACTGATATTCAGGCCCTGAAGACGGCCTTCGATACCAGTGAGTAGAGCCTTCATCAAAACACAGTCTGCACAGGTTTATTATAATAAAGCTTTTGAATTCAAATCTGGTTTGTTACATTTGCAGCGCTGCCGTTTGTAAACATCCAGATATTAATTTTCCCATTTTACTGGAAAGAAAAAAACTAAACATTATATTTGAACCTTTGTGAGAAGTTTTTGTATATGTACGATATCCACTTTGTATTTGCAAACACTGTGACTGTCTTTACTGGAACTGCATTTCTAGGGAGAAAGCCGAGAGGATATATTGATCATCGCTGCCAGGACCTCTCTCTCTAATCTTTCTCTCTGTGTTGATCAGGTGATCAGTATCACAGCTCTGTGAGTTTGTGAAGAGGAAGCGTTTCCTCTGGTGTGAAATGATTAACAAAGACCAACTCCTTTATGAACCTACATTTGCATTGAGTGCTGGTGTTTTTACTAATGAACCTAAAGCATCTTTTGTGAAGTTTGACAGTTTTTGGCAGCATGGTGACTGCCTGCTTGTGCCGAGGTGTTTCCCTACCTTGAAATCTTTCTTTGTCGTTCTCGTCCTCACGTTTTTGTCGTCTCCTGCAGATAATAAAGACGTGTCAGTGATGATGAGCGAGATGGACGTCAACGCCATCGCTGGGACCTTGAAGCTCTACTTCAGAGAGCTGCCGGAACCTCTTTTCACTGATGATCTCTATCCCAACTTCGCAGGTGGCATCAGTAAGTCAACAAGTTATTGACATAATCAACACATCTCACCGCTTATTATCAGTTATTAAATTAATTATTTGAGCAGTTACTGACCCTGGAGCAGCAGCTACATCTTCTATCTCTTCTTTTCATTTACAGGTTATATAAAAACTTATTTCTCTTCTTTCTTTCAGCCCTGTCTGATAGTGTTGCCAAAGAGAGCTGCATGTTGAACCTACTGCTGTCGCTGCCGGAACCCAACCTGGTCACATTTCTATTTCTTTTGGATCACCTGAAGAGGTATACGCCTGAACACACAACATGCTTCTATAATATGTACAAATAAAAATGTATCAGAAGTTTGAGGAGAGAAGTTCTGCACCAAAAGTCGCTACAGCAAAAAAATCCTTGAATAGAAACTTCGAGGTTTGCAGATCAACAGGATAACATAAAAATACATGAGCTGACACACACGTTGAGATTCCTGAAAGATTTTAGTTCTATTTTTTGTTTCTCCCAGTGATAAATGGGTAAATAATATGTGCAGCATTCTCTCTGATGCTGCTCTAATTATATTCAAGCAAACGCAATCACTACTGTGGGATGCTGCAACTGCAAAATGTCCTCTGGTTGCCATGGGGACTTTCTACAACAAGAGGCTCAAACATTATGTGAGCACAAACAATTCGTACAAAGTGCATCTGTATGAAAGCATTACAGGAGTGTGTGCCGGATGGTAATAGGTTACAGCTCGATTATAAAGAAGATCTCCATTTTAAATATGCAGTGGAACAAGCAGGGGATTGAAACAAGAAGGAACTAATATACTTGTATTTTTTAAATTATGAAAAACCGCAATCACAATGTCACCAGATTCTGTTTTTTAAGTTTTGTCCAACTAATAGTTCAATAAAGAAATAGATTAATTTTTTGAAATAAAGCAAAGAATAGCAGCAGATCTTCATATTTTAGAAGCTTTGAGTAGCAAATGTTAATGTTTGATTAATAGATCAATTCAATGATTAATGAATAAAAACATTGTTTAATTTTCTGTCTTCAGACAAATCGATCTGTTGTTTCACTTGGAGCAGATAAATCCAGAACAACTGTCCTTTTCTTTCTCAGAAACCCACTTCTGCAAGAGTTTTAGTATCTCTGACATCCTCATACATGCACACTGAACACACAGCTCCATGACTGCACATTAACACCACCTGCCTGTGTCCTTGTCCTCTACGTGCATCACTGATTAACTCCTCTGTCTTCCTCTTCCCCTCAGGGTGGCAGAGAAGGAATGCATCAACAAGATGTCGCTCCACAACCTGGCGACGGTGTTCGGGCCGACCTTGCTGAGGCCTTCCGAGAAGGACAGCAAGATCCCAGCGAACCCCACGCAGCCCATCAGCATGGGGGACAGCTGGTCTCTGGAAGTCATGGCACAGGTGACGCTCACAGATCCACTGTTTCTTTGAATATCTTGAAGTTTTGTCTGCAAATTTGCAAACGTTTTTATTTTTGTTGTCGCCCCCTTGCAGGTCCAGGTGCTGCTGTATTTCCTCCAGCTGGAGACCATCCCCACCCCGGACAGTAAACGACAGAGCATCCTCTTCTCCACTGAAGTATAGAGCAAACACTGGCTGTGACACTTTGACCACGAAGGAGAGAAAAAGACGAGACAGACTTTGGCTCAAACTGAGCCTGTAGTTGTATGTTTTTTTAATTGACTGACCAGATTCCATTAGGCTCTTGCAGCTGGTTAAGGATTGTCTGTGGCAATGCCCGCCCTTCTACACAGGAGGGCGTCATTGAGCCTCTGGAGCTCAGTGTGTGGTCCTCTGTTTTCATACCGCTCATGTTTAGTATGATTCCTTGCTCCTCAGTGATTTTGTGGGTGTGTCTGACATCTACTGTTTCTCCATGTTGCCCTTTGTCGGTCTTAGCATTGAAGAGAGCGAAAAACTTTCTGGATTCGTACTCAACATATCACAATCTCCATGTATCTTTGTGTTTGGGCATTGTTCTCTATCTGTGTTTTCTTTTTGGGGACAATCATCCAAGTCAAGACTCTCGCAAAACATGTTTATTCATCTCAGACGTCCTTCTACGTCCACGTTGAGGAAAATTCTACTTGTGTCTTACATGATCTCAGTGCTTTGTTTCCGACCAGGGAGACATTTGCGCCACTTGTGGGAGTTAAAGCAAACGTCCAGCGCTGCCGCATCACTGGCTTTTTTCTTTGTGGTACAAAAGCCGCGGGGGAAGCAGACATTTATAATGTTCAAGTGTTTACAGCGTAAACAAAACCCGGTTGGAGTCGGAACAAGGCGGCTCAAAGAAGGACTGTAAGATAGAAGAGGAACATGATGACTAGAAATAAACTGCGACCTGACTGCCAGCAGTTTGTCTGACCGCAAAGATTTTTCCCTACATGTGTTGTTTGTGTCTCCAGGTAGTCTTCAGCGTAAATACCCAGGAAGCAATATATTTTCTAACATAGGAGTCGTCTGTGTTCATATCTTTGCCGATGAAATGTCCTTCTTATTGTAACATAGGACATCTTTGCCAAATTCATATGTTGTTTGTTTGTTTCTAGGAAAAAAGGAACAGTTGTATTTACAGTTACAGTTTGTACATAATCTTTAAAAAAAAAAAGTTATTTTCTTTTTTTTTTAACAATTTAATCATTGTTGCTATTACTGTAATTTATTTTCGGGCCTGGGGGATGAATTGGTTTGTTTTTATGTGAACTTTGTTTGAGGGGTTTGATTAAGGAAGTGGAAGGTCTTAGCCTTGACTTTAAGTCTTGCAGGAAATAAGCAGGATTTAGCCTTGATCTTATAGAAACTACTCATCTGTTCTGTCCAGCCGATCTATTACTCATTTATCATGAAGGCAACACACACACACACACATATATGTTGTAGTTACATACTGTATGCTGCTGGGGAAAAGGGACAAGCTCTTTAACTGCTGGGTGTTCCTCAGCAGAGCGTCCAGAGACCATCGCCTGTCTAGTGTAGACATTATGCAATGTCATAAAACACACACATACATATATGACATTGTCTCTATTAATCTGTTGCTGCAGACGTGCACTCATGCAATGTTAGAACTACTGTATTTATTACAACTCAAGTGACCTGAGCACTCAGCAGTTATGTGCATTGAAGAGCATACCTGTTGGTTTAATGAAGGAATCTCATTTTGTTTTTATTCTATTTTATTTCTCTCAGCACTCAAATGCCCTGACAACTGTTCGTCCCCGTCCTCCCTCCTGTTGAGCCTGAAGACGGCCAAGTTAAAGAAAAGCTCTTAAGATTTTTTTTTTACTCTAAAACAACATATCTGTATCCTTGATTTAACATGCAGGCATGTTTTTATTCTCTTTTCTTTGGCTTCTCGTTGCTCTGTTTACAAACGTGTCCTCACACACTTGGCTTTGGGACGCTGTTACCTCACGAGAATCTGGTTTATCTCAGCGTGTCACTATCCCGCCCATTTAAGGATACATGTCATGGTTTGATTCCCATATATTCAGTATCATAGGCATGAAGCTCAAAACCATCTTATTATGTTAATGGATCTGTAAAGGGCTTGTAAGATATCACACGAAGGCATAGGCAAGAACTTTTTAACATGAATGTCCATAGACTTTTACTGGCGAGAGGAGTCTTTCCTTTTTGGATACATATCAACGCTCAAAATTTGACGCCCAAAAGACGTTTCTGTCGCCTTTCTCTATAGATGTTAAAGAAAACACCATCACTCATCATCCCCCATGAAAAACGATTGAGGTTTTATTCTGGAAGTGTCACTGCGTTCATTCCCAGCACAGTTTCGTGCACTTTTCTTATACTGGCACTGTGCACCTCCACCAACTCTGGCCTGTGTAGCATGCTCACAATCCTTCCTCGCCTATATTCGAGGATTGAATCCATCACTCATCAGCTCCTCCGCTCATGCATCACTTTTAGAAACAAGTCCCGATTGCCTACACTCGTCTGCCCTATCGTGCCTCGACACTCCTCCTTTGGTTTTAGCGCCTGTGGTCAAAGAAATGTCAGCGAACACACGCTGACGCCGGAGAGACGTCGCCCGGTCTCCCGTTGCCTTTGCTGAGGACGGCCACACACCCCTCATCTCTTAAACAAAAAGCTAAGACAGGACCTTAAACTTAAGCACGGTCTTAGCTCATATTGTAAACGCCTGCCACCCTCGTTCGACTGTGATGCTGTAAAAACAAACTGTGTCAGTCTGAAAGGGGCAAAGGACAGAATCTCCTGCCCTTACAGTATGTTTCTGTTAGCTCTTAAAAAGTCTCAGCTCCTTTAATGCCTTTTATTTGTATTTATTAACCTAGTTTGCTATAAGAAGGTCTACTGGATCTATTTATTTATGATATAATGTCACGGAAAACTGAATTAATGTTGGAAAAATGGTCTTTTATGTGGGAAAAAAAAGTCTTATGTTACAGTCTGCTTATCGAACATCTTGTTAAAAGTTATTTCAGAATCACAACCACTGCGAACACCTTTTTTAACTCCCCCCGACTCCTGCATCGTCCAACATCATCCTCTCTGTAGTTGTTTGTCTTGTACAACAGACTGGCCACTGTGATTGTTTAGCTTTCTGGTTTTTAGAGAAAAGCAGGTGAAAGTTCCAAAACAATTCAAAAAAAGTAGATTCAAACTTCTCCTACTTCTCCACAGCGTTGTATAATATGTATTATACTAGAGAGTACTTAAATTGGGGTTTTTGGCTTTTATTTATTGTGGCGTCCATTGGCGTTAGATGATGATGATGATGTTAAAGATTGATCTGGTTCACCTCTAGTCTCTTTGAAGAAACCAAACTGTCAGTATATGGTAGAAGAGGGAAAAAAGTCCTATATTAATCTAAAATCTGATTCTTTATTTTTGGTCTGTTGATTGTCAGTGTATCTGCATGTACCCTCCATAACACGGTTCCCTCCATAACCTCAGTTCTGCACATGGAAAAGTCAACATAGGCAAAAGAAAGGTTTAGTTTTTCTGTGCAATAGCCTGAAACTATGGAACATATTGCTCTATATGAAAGTTACAAAAATTTTGCGTTTATTGTACATGACACCTGGAAATGATCACAACATTTTCATACACTTAATAAGTAGAATTTGAAATGACCCTGTGTAGCCACTATACTCTGATACGTCGACCTCTGAGGGAAAATGCTCGTTTCTCCTTTTATCCGTAAAGCTGAGGACGAGACTTGCTGACCAACCACAAACATGTTCTCTTTTTACCCTCCTCGACTTATTTTGACTCTTGTTCCCTGTTGAATATTCAATGTTCTGCTTGTAGAACTGTAAAAAGGAATACTGTATTCTGAGGGCAAACATGTTTGGAAGGCATTTGCAGCCTATGTTTGTACACAAAAATGTTAAATAAAATCTCCTGTATCAACATAGAATGGCACGTTTTCATTTTTTAAATTTTCTTTATAGAGAGAATTACGAAAGCTGAACCTGGGGAAGACGGTGAATGGTCCAAATATTCACAATGAGCTCATCTATCATTCACAAAATGGTGCAGAGCTGCAGCTGAGCAAAGAAAAACACATTTGAAATGAATGATAATAGAAATAACACATGTAAACTTTCACATTTTTCAGTTTGACCCATTTGTTAAATAAATTAAATACTCAGAACATTCATATTTAGACACTAATCAAATGTATGTATTTACCTCTTTCACATATTTTATTATTGCCAACATATCTGCCAGTGAAATTTCCTTTTCACTAAACAATAAACTGACTTATGCCAGCACTGGATAGAATGACGAATGGAGTTTTTTAATCGTGAGAATATGAAGTTGTGATGACTGATGTGATGCGGTGTGCTACTGGCAGAGGGCATTGTGGGTAAATCTAGTCCTGATAGGAGTCACTTCAGTCAGCACTTACACATTACACTGGAGCATTGAACTTCTTTACAGTGCTTAAAGACATGAGTCAACATTAGAGCGAGCTTCCTCTGTAATGATTCAAGTGAAACTAAAAACACGTGGAAATGATATCAGTGGGTTTTATAGGGTTCGTTTTATAGAGCTGTAATATAAAAACACTCACATCACAATCTGTGGGGGTGGAAGGGAAACGTTGAAATGGACCAGAGTTATCACTCCAAAACTCTGCAGACACACACACACACACAGTGTGCACAGCAAACACACAAAGAAATTCTATTATGGGGGAAGTGGGAAATACCAACAAATGAATAATAAGATGATTATGTGAAGTAAGGAACATGCAGCATCGACTCGTGGTCGGTTAGGCTGAGGTTATGTTTATGTTAGATTAAGGTTAGGGTAAGGTTAAGGGTTAGGGTTACACAAGTTATGGTTAAGGTTAGGGTAAGGTTAAGGTAAAGGTAAGGTTAAGGGGTAGGGTTACACAAGTTATGGTTAAGGTTAGGGTNTAAGGTTAGGGTAAGGTTAAGGTAAAGGTAAGGTTAAGGGGTAGGGTTACACAAGTTATGGTTAAGGTTAGGGTAAGGTTAAGGTAAAGGTAAGGGTAAGGTTAAGGTAAAGATAAGGTTAAGGTAAAGGTAAGGTTAAGGGTTAGGGTTACACACGTTATGGTTAAGGTTAGGGTAAGGTAAAGGTAAGATTAAGGTAAAGGTAAGGTTAAGGGTTAGGGTTACACAAGTTATGGTTAAGTTTGCAGGAATTAACTTATTTTAACTGGATTTCTTTTTTTAAATTTATTCTCCTTTTTTTTACTTCATCTGTCATCTCTCAACCAGCTGTCATCGTTTAAGTTATTTCAAGTGTTTACCAGAAGTGACCCCCGCCCACCTCCTATCACCCACACACAGAGAGAGCGAGAGAGAGGGAAAGAGAGAGAGAGAGAGGGAAAGAGAGAGAGAGAGGGAAAGAGGGAGAGAGAGAGAGAGGCGTGTTTTCCTAGTGTGCACCTTCAAACTTCACAGATCTTCAGTAGCAGCATCGTGTCAGAGGATTTACAGCTTTTTCTTTTTCTAAGATTCACTTTGTTTCCACACCCTGAGGTTTCTCATCATCTGGATGGAAAGACTTTTATTTTCAACACGACAATCAGGTAAGGAGATAAATACAGTTGTTTTAACTTGTTTATAATGTTTAAACTCTGTCAGATCAGCTTTGGATCATCTTGTAACGTGAGGGGGAAACAGATTAAAAGCAACATAGCTACTAAAACAACTGTTTCTTAATTATATATACTCAAATTCTATCAAATTTTTATTCTTTTACCTAATACACACAGGGCTTTCTCCAGTAATAACAAGGATAATAATATTAATACATGAGCTTCTCTTTGTGATTTTGGTGGAGCTGAGCTGCCTCATTGATTGACAGGCTAGTTACAGATCCCCTCCTGCAGGATGTTTATTTTCTTATCACTTCCTCCAAGGCCTCTGAGCACATACTGTATATCACTCCTCGTGTATTAATGGAGAGGGCGAGCGGTTGTATTTAAAGCACCCGACTGGAAGAAGGTCAAACAAGAACTCTGAGCATGTGACAGCTTAAAGTGTGGGTTTTGACCTGTAAACCTGCAGCACAGTGATTCCCTTTGTTTTGTTTCGTTGCCTGTGTAGGTTTAGAAATGATCTGGTGAAATAGATATTAATTCAAATAATAATGTGTGCAGATTGCTTTATTTTTACATTTGTCTTTCACTCTCGCAGTGAAGAGTAAATACAGTCACAAGTWATTGAATGTACTGAATTTATTAAAAACATTCAGTAAATGTACATATATTAAGTTTTCTAAGTTTAATTTACAGTTAAATCTGCCTTTTTCAATTATATCTGCTCATTTTCTTGCATAAACTTATTTTCATATGTCACAGGACTGAATGCAGCTATTCTGATCAACGTGCTTCTTGTAAGTTTCATTTCCTCAATTCATAAGGTATATTTAAACAATTTCATTACATACTTACTTGGGATTTTTGAGTGTAAAAATGTTTCACCAAAAATATTGACCACATCCTAGTTTTTAGAATGTTGATATTTTGGGTTGCTGTAGCTTTTCCAAACCTGCTGGATAAACCCTGAATTCCTCCGGGCTGATGTGAGCAGGTTTTAATCGAAGAACAATAGAGGAAAGAAGAAAATGGGACTTTGGTCCAATGTACTGCCAATCAGGATCAGAGCAGTGAGAGTCGCTGGGTTAAATGTCACCAAAAGAGGTCGATTTGAACAACGTATGAGAAGTTACAAGAAAATAATAAATTGCTTTTTTCCTGTTCTCTTTATATTTTCAACACTAGTACACCTAGTGTAGTTATGGTCTTTTAAAAAGCTTTGATAATGTAAAAGTCTGAACTGCCATAGCCTGAAAAAAGCCTGGAATCAAAAGAAATAACCCTAACCCTATATTAATCATTCTAAAATAAAATGATAGAGATTTAGAAATAATATCGTTTTTAGAAGAGACTGAATATAACTGAAGCGAAATTGAATTTGGCCGATATATTTTAACCTTTCATAAGTCAAAACTTCTTAGTTGAACTTGTCAGACATCCACTGGAAGCGAGTCCATCGGTGTTCAGCGATCGAGCAGCAGGCAGACACGTCTGAGCTGATGTGTTGTGCATTTGTATTAAAAATGTATGTCTCATTATCCATCTATCCCTCCATCCATTATTTAAACCACTTATCCTTTGAGGGTCATCGGGCGAGAGGCAGGATGCAGCCTGGACACGTCTCCAGCGTATCACAGGACCATGTCTCATCATTAATGTTAACAATGGGACTGAATAAACATTGGATTGGGAATTCCTATTCTGTGACATATGAAAACATAAGACACCCAGATAAAAGAAAAACAGTTGAGGTTTTATTCAATCTTGTCGATTATTACTCACCACAGACATTGATGGGAACTATGTC